ATATCTGATTATAGAAAATGGCTTTCTTGCAGTTTTCTGTAAGGCACTGATTTGATACCCAGCAAGCCTATGGTAGTTTCATGAAGATTGTATTATTATGTTATTCACCAACGGAATTTGGTTTTGCTATTATAATAATATTTCTTACTAGCGTTTCTACTTTGTTTTTATTGATCTTTAAAACTTAAGTAGTTCTCATATCAAAACAACTATATTTAAAATTTAATTACCAGACGACTGTGATAATTAAAGGTTTTTTGAGCAGGTTTAATTGATAAAATGTTGCTAATTAATAATGAATAGTGATGTTTGGTTCTTTTAACTTCTGGGGTACTTGATAGTCAATCTATGTTTTCTTTTTGATTGGCAATGCATTATTGTGTATTGCTTACAGAATCTCTGATTTTTTGGCAGCAACAATGACAAAAATTATTAAAGAAATGTTGCCCCCAGATGTACGTGTAGCAAGAGATGCCCAAGATCTATTGATCGAGTGTTGTGTAGGTCAGAATTTTATAATCAATGATAGTTTCCTTCCCACTATATTGTGTTTGATTGGTTGACTTAATTCTTTTAGTTTTAGGAAATCAGATATAGTGTCGTGTACTATTTTTATTTTTCTGATGTCTGAGAAGGTTATGGTCTCCTCCATTGAAGCCATCGTACCATCTCGTTGTCATGCCTTGGATGGTGTCCACTGCAGCAGCATTCATGGCTATTTGCGGCATTAGTGTTTTCTAAAACCCCATATACCCTCTACTACTGCTTTGCTTGAGATTTTTTTTTTTGTTTTTTTTTCTTTCCTCATTGTTCAAAATTTGAAACCCTACTCAGAAACAGTCATATGCCCGTGTCTCTGAAACACAGACCATTATTCTTTGGCACCAACAGTGGCCTGTTGTGATGTCTTGTGGCACTTCCTGCTGTTTCTGGCCTTGCCCTATTCTGTGGCACTATTTCCAATGTTCTGTTGTGTTGTTTGTATTCTGTTCATTCTCCCCGTTTTGTACTCTTCATTTTGTTGCAGTATCTGACCGATTGGTCCTTCTTCATTTCATCTATATTTGCTGTTACCTAACCCTATCATACCATATTAGCTGTGAATTACTAGAATCTGTAGTGTAATAAAATTGTTGGTGATAAGCTATTTTGAACTTCCTGTCTGTTTTTTCATAGTTCATGTTGAAGTGACACAATTGTTATATCTATATTGTGGATATGCTGAACGTGTGTGTCAATTCTTTTATTGTCTAAAACTTTTTTTGTTGAAATTCTCTTTAGAATTTTCTGCTTCATATTCTTAGTTGACTTTTCTCAATAATTAAGATGTTAACCAATTTGTCATTGTAGAGTTTATAAACCTCATCTCGTCAGAATCCAATGAAGTCTGCAACAGAGAGGAAAAACGGACAATTGCACCTGAGCATGTATTGAAGGCTCTACAGGTATTTTGTATTTCTATAGCTTCGCTTGTGAATATTTCCTACTTTATATTTGAATGTTTATGTCATTTCACACCATGCTTTATCTTAGGTTGTATTTTGTTTGGGTATGAAGATTTCATTCAATATAGGTTCCTTAGTTACTCAGTTTAAAGAAGCAGAGTTGAAAGGATTGAAGATTAGTGATTTAAAATTAACAATTTTTTCTTTCGTCTGGGCCGAAATTTGCATCCAAACAAGGATTTATGTCTTCATGGTAAAAATGGCTGTAATAGTTAAATAATTGCATTCTTGTCTATGATGAGACTGAGCACAAGTTGCTGACACTTGAAATTAAAATACTTGGTAGCTGATTGGGCTCGTCTTACAGATTTATTATTTGATCCCACCAAATGTTCTCTTAAAGGGAGTAATACAGTAATGAGAAAGAGAAGAGAATTTGTAGAAATAGAAATTGTTTTATTGGATTACTTGTTTGAGGTACGTATATCTATAAAGAAGTAGTAGCTTGTTTTGCAAGCTTTGCTGACTAGACTTTTATATCTAATTAACTCAGCTCAGCATAACTGACTTGATTAGTTTGATGCAACTTTGCTAACTAACTAACTAACTATATATATATATATATATATATATATATATGTATATATATGTAACTGACAGCTCGGCATAACTTCAGCTAGTTAGTTGCAACAGATGCTGACTAGGCACCTATAACACTAAGTGTTTAAATAGCTAGCATGACTATACTCCATCTTATCATCTCCCATCCACCACACACACATAAGATATCACCCTATGAGTACTAGTAATGATACATCCACCTAATAATTTGTAAAAAGGAGTTAAGTTAAAAAATAAGTGCATTTATTATCTTAAAAACATTAAAAACGTACTTTCTTCATCTTGTAAGGAGGAGGATGCTGTAACAAGATTTAGAATTATTCTTACCTTACCCTGAACCCCAAAGTAGCTGTTGCTCTTTCCTTGAAAAATGAGAGTGGTATCCTGCTGAGTGTTGATAATATATAGATCATAGGAAGATGCATGCTCTCTGCTATATATTTTACATGTATATTTTACTTTAAGAGTGACTTATTAGTTGAAAAGAAACGGAACAGTTCTTTTAAAAGGAATTATTTTCTATTCTGTTGTTACAAGTGTTCCAAAATCATAGATTCACCGAATCCTTTAAACATGTTGCATACCTGTTTCTGATTTTGTTTATATATTTGCTCCTTTCCCCAGGTTCTTGGATTTGGTGAGTACATTGAAGAAGTTTATGCAGCATATGAACAACACAAAATGGAGACCATGGTAATTATTAATATTAATGTCTCATCTGCATGTTGAATACTTGAGCGATACAATACAACTTAGCATATTCACTTTCTTGAGTCCTTGTCCAACACCTTAATTTCTGCACGGGTGGACACTAGAAAATAAAAAATGTAAACCTAGGGTGCTATGTTATATATGAACGATGTTTATATTTCCATCTCAAACAATCTTAGTGCAAGCTAAACTTGAATTTTCCAACTGGGGTCAGATGAAAGAGGGACTATCTTAAGGGAGAACCTGCTGGCCTCGTTGATGGTTCTTCTCTCAAGAAGCCCCCAAACTTTTCATAGGTCCATTTAATGTATTCCGTGGGTAGATAGGCATGTGGAAATGGTATGTGGGTAAATTTTGCCGGAAAGATCTTAACAGACTGGTAGTCTGATCTGACTTGTCTGACATACCTTCCCTTCCCACCTGGTGTTTTCAGAACATGTTGAGAGCATGATGGTCTGTGCCATGGTTGGCTGTTGAAATAAAAAATTATCTTAACGAACTTCAGCAGGTTTTGTTGTCCTTGTATTTGTATTGGAAGCCTGGTGAGCCTGTATTGTTGATTAGTATGGAAAAGTGAGTTTTGGACCAGTTGATTGCTGTTGTATACGAATTAAGCTGTTTTCTGATCAGTTAATGTGGAAAGTGAATTTTGAACAAAGTTAATTGTTGTTAAATATGAATTTAACTGTTTCTGTTATTGTTTTTAATGTCTTCCAGCAGGACTCTTTAAAGGGTGGTAAATGGAGCAATGGAGCTGAGATGACCGAGGAAGAAGCATTAGCAGAGCAGCAAAGGATGTTTGCGGAGGCACGTGCTAGGATGAACGGTGGAGGCATTACTTCCAAGCAGCCAGATACTGACCAAAGTTTAGATAGCTGACTTTAGGATCTTTATGGAAGCATAGGCAAGCACCCTGATTCATGTCTGTGCTTCTAATATTGTGTACAAAAACCATTCACTAGTTTGCTGGCATATGTGGATATGAGCTCTCCATTTGTATTCTATCGATGAATCCATATTTGTAAGTCAATGTAATTAGTGAGAGATCATGAAATGCCTCCTCCCCATTTAGCATTGCATGTAATTATTTAATTTACATTTTGTATCTTCCGTATACTAACAACTCCTAGCTCAATTCTGACAATGGCTACTAAATTTATTAGATTGTAACAAATCATCAAATATGTAGGAGCAATGGTGTTTGGTTTATTTGTTGCCTAGATTAGTATGGGAAATCTTGCAAACTCGAAATGCTGCCGTAAACGGAGTCATATCATTTCAGTCACGCTTAGTTGTGATTAATACAATAACCGTGGTCTCCCTGTCATTCTTTTTCTTTATCTCATCAAATTCTCGTGTAATTAACCCCCTCATGAACTGTAGAACTAATAGCCAAAGTCTAATTATGTATAGCTAAACCTTAAATGTTAAATTTTCACGACAATGCGATAGGATTGAGTGCTTAGGGGACTAACCTAGAACGAGGTGTCAGTTCGCAGATACGTGTAATGTAGTGTCTGTAGCCAACATGAGCCACGAGAATTCAGTAATGGTTAACCTGATGTCACCATGGTGCGCCTTTGCACTAGAAGACATAAACGGTGCAGAAGAGTGTGCTAAGTGCATGTCGAGTTTCAACAGTGATGGCTTTGTGTTTTGTTTGTTCTTGCTTTAGGTTTTTTAATCCTTTTTACCGTTTTGGGCATCAAGTCAAAAGAGTTTAGTCGAGCACAATGGCACAGGGCGCAAGCCTCTCTCTCTTCCTTCGCTACCCCACAAGAAAGTGAAATAACAAACACATTGTCTCCTTAGATTCCTTTCTTTTCTATTTGAAGCGCACTCTATCCCAGTCTCTTTCTGATTTCCTATATCAGCTGGTGGGACTGGTTATGTTTCTTTTGTCAGGATTCTCTTGCACTCACTATATGAAAGGGGGAGATGGCTAGAATAACAAAGAAACAATTAAATAAACCTAAAAGCCCAACATATCTATCCCCAACAGTAAAAAGAAGAAACCAGATTCATACTCTCTCTGTCTCCCTCCCTCTCTCTACTATCTGACCTTCCTTTAAAGCTTGTTCTTCCTTCTCATATTAAGACCCCAATCATGGATACAACCTCAACCCATTAACCTCAAGACTCATCCTCCAAGAGGCATTTCCATTAGACCAACAAGGTTGGAAATAAAGACATCAAAGTCCCCTCCTCTGAAACAANGTTGATTAGTATGGAAAAGTGAGTTTTGGACCAGTTGATTGCTGTTGTATACGAATTAAGCTGTTTTCTGATCAGTTAATGTGGAAAGTGAATTTTGAACAAAGTTAATTGTTGTTAAATATGAATTTAACTGTTTCTGTTATTGTTTTTAATGTCTTCCAGCAGGACTCTTTAAAGGGTGGTAAATGGAGCAATGGAGCTGAGATGACCGAGGAAGAAGCATTAGCAGAGCAGCAAAGGATGTTTGCGGAGGCACGTGCTAGGATGAACGGTGGAGGCATTACTTCCAAGCAGCCAGATACTGACCAAAGTTTAGATAGCTGACTTTAGGATCTTTATGGAAGCATAGGCAAGCACCCTGATTCATGTCTGTGCTTCTAATATTGTGTACAAAAACCATTCACTAGTTTGCTGGCATATGTGGATATGAGCTCTCCATTTGTATTCTATCGATGAATCCATATTTGTAAGTCAATGTAATTAGTGAGAGATCATGAAATGCCTCCTCCCCATTTAGCATTGCATGTAATTATTTAATTTACATTTTGTATCTTCCGTATACTAACAACTCCTAGCTCAATTCTGACAATGGCTACTAAATTTATTAGATTGTAACAAATCATCAAATATGTAGGAGCAATGGTGTTTGGTTTATTTGTTGCCTTGATTAGTATGGGAAATCTTGCAAACTCGAAATGCTGCCGTAAACGGAGTCATATCATTTCAGTCACGCTTAGTTGTGATTAATACAATAACCGTGGTCTCCCTGTCATTCTTTTTCTTTATCTCATCAAATTCTCGTGTAATTAACCCCCTCATGAACTGTAGAACTAATAGCCAAAGTCTAATTATGTATAGCTAAACCTTAAATGTTAAATTTTCACGACAATGCGATAGGATTGAGTGCTTAGGGGACTAACCTAGAACGAGGTGTCAGTTCGCAGATACGTGTAATGTAGTGTCTGTAGCCAACATGAGCCACGAGAATTCAGTAATGGTTAACCTGATGTCACCATGGTGCGCCTTTGCACTAGAAGACATAAACGGTGCAGAAGAGTGTGCTAAGTGCATGTCGAGTTTCAACAGTGATGGCTTTGTGTTTTGTTTGTTCTTGCTTTAGGTTTTTTAATCCTTTTTACCGTTTTGGGCATCAAGTCAAAAGAGTTTAGTCGAGCACAATGGCACAGGGCGCAAGCCTCTCTCTCTTCCTTCGCTACCCCACAAGAAAGTGAAATAACAAACACATTGTCTCCTTAGATTCCTTTCTTTTCTATTTGAAGCGCACTCTATCCCAGTCTCTTTCTGATTTCCTATATCAGCTGGTGGGACTGGTTATGTTTCTTTTGTCAGGATTCTCTTGCACTCACTATATGAAAGGGGGAGATGGCTAGAATAACAAAGAAACAATTAAATAAACCTAAAAGCCCAACATATCTATCCCCAACAGTAAAAAGAAGAAACCAGATTCATACTCTCTCCGTCTCTCTGTCTCCCTCCCTCTCTCTACTATCTGACCTTCCTTTAAAGCTTGTTCTTCCTTCTCATATTAAGACACCAGTCATGGATACAACCTCAACCCCTCAACCTCAAGACTCATCCTCCAAGAGGCATTTCCATTGGACCAACAAGGTTGGAAATGAAGACATCCAAGTCCCCTCCTCTGAAACAATGTCCAAAATCATAGAGGAAGACGCAAACACAAAGGGAAAAGACGAACAAGAACAAGATGACAAGGGTCTTCCACTCCCAGGCCCTGCAACGACTTCCCAAAGAAGAAAGCTTCAGGCCGTGGCAATCTCAAGGCTCCGCTCCGTCCTCACCGTGTTCGGCAAGAACCGCTCCAACCTTCCCTTTGGCCTCGGTTCTCGAGTGGTCGGCACCCTCTTCGGCTACCGTCGCGGCCATGTCCACTTCGCCTTCCAGAAGGACCCAACTTCCCAACCCGCTTTCCTCATCGAGCTTGCAACACCCATAACCGGTTTGGTTCGTGAAATGGCTTCTGGGCTGGTCCGAATCGCCCTGGAATGCGACAAGGACAAAGAGTCAGAGAAGAAGAGTTTGAGGTTGCTTCAGGAGTCCGTGTGGAGGACCTACTGCAACGGCAAAAAGTGTGGCTTTGCCACCAGAAGAGAATGTGGAGCGAAAGACTGGGAAATCCTGAAGGCCGTGGAACCAATTTCAATGGGTGCAGGTGTTCTGCCAGTGACTAATAACAGTGATGGAGGTGATGGGGAGGTGATGTACATGAGGGCTAGGTTTGAGAGAATTGTTGGGTCCAGAGACTCTGAGGCTTTCTACATGATGAATCCTGACAGCAATGGAGCACCTGAGCTCAGTATTTATTTGCTTAGAGTCTAGTTACTAGTAACTACTACGACCGGCCCTTTCAGTTATCATACTTAACTTTCTTTCCCTTTTAGTTTCTTCTTTCTGGATGTTAAACACTAGGCTATTCCTATAGTACCTGTTTAGCTCCTCAATCATGAAAATGGTCACTTAGTTCTCTCTGTTTTTTTTTTCTCCTATTCCCCCTCTTCTTCCACCAGGAAGAAGAAGTGGGGTTTCAGTTTTTTTTGGTTAGGATAGGCGGGTAGGGTAAAGGCAGAAAGGGGGAAATTAATTGTGGGTTACCAATACTTTACAGGGTGATGGTGGGGTGGGTCATGAAAGGTGTATATGTATAGTTTCCTTTCCAATCCTTTAATTAGTGATATGAGGCGAAGGTTAATGCAAATCATCATTGTCTTCTCATTTTTATTTGGTTTATTAGCTTTTCCAATTTCGTAGTGCAGTGTTGTTTTATTTGATTCCACTTGATGGCTTCCCTTTTTTGTACTGTGCTCCTTCACGCTCCCTTTTTTCAATTTTTTTACTTGTGTGCTTCTTTGCTTGATGATTAACTTGGTCCCATGGTTGAAGGTTTCTTGGACTTCTAAAATTAAATTTCACAAACCATTACTACTCTAGCTGGTTTAACGTTTTACTAGAAACTGTTATGTCAGTTCTACGCTTTCAAATTCTGTAAAAGATATCTGGTTTGCTTAGAGACAGAGGAAGATTATTTACGAGGATATCACTTCCTCCCCTCTCTCCTTCTTGGATGATAACTTCATTATTATTTGGTTTGAGTGCCCTTTCATTTGTTTCCTTATGCTCTTCTTTCCCTGTTTAGTTTGGATTCTTTATCAGCATGTTCTTTCAACCCAACACAATTTCAGTATGTGGTCTAAAAAGTTAATGTTGTTCCAATGATTGCTTTTTATGCACAATTTTGTTTGCGAAGTGATCCCAAGAAATTTTCTTAATGTCTAAGCCTAATCATAGAAGTCATCAAAAGCAAAATAAGAAAAGAAAAAAAATAAAATTTATATTCTGATACTAACAATCTGACAGCAGACCCCATCTTTTTCTCACTTTTTTCCTTTGTTTATACACTCGATCATTTGCTTTCCCTCTTGTTGACTGCTTTTCTTTTTGTTGGCCTAATTCAAATCTGAAACATACTCACCAGGTTGTTTTCATAGTAATTTGTGCAGCTTTAGTCGCTAGCCTTAGACTATAGCCTACTACTGTCAACATTTGAGACCACTATTCTTTATGCTCTTTTTTTGTTCTCACGTGGATTATTGAATAGCAATCTTATTTGAGATAAGTTTAGCACTAAATATAGACATTTTTGTGTGAGAACTTGAATCTTTATTCATTATGAGAGAGTGTTTCTTTTTATTTAATCCCCAAAGGAAAATCATTTACCCGGACAGTTTCATCATAATAGTGATAACTCCTTTTGCCTTTCCCTTCCTAGTTTTCAGGCTTTAGAAAATCCCTACTATTTCCCTGTAACTTTGAGAGAAAAGATTGAAGATGAAGAACATATATGGCTTACAGCTAGGACAAAATAAATCTCTCAACAAGTCTTTCACCGAAACCAAAGTCCTTTTAGTTATTTTAATCATCTACTCATCATTCTTCCAAAGATATAAAAGGCAGTGGCTTCACATAAAGTTGAACCACTGATTTACATTATTATTGTTCAAACTGATGCACCAAACACATTGAAAAGAAACAGTACTGGAGATTAGAAGAATTTGTTAAGATTTTGTGTACATAACCACAGGTCATTACAAAATCCAACTGTTTGGTCTTTTACATTTGTTGTTGTAGGACATGCAGGCGAAGCAATTATAAGTTTAATGGCTAACTAATTTATCACAATATGACAAGTGAAAGTATGTATGATCTGCCCGGTGTACAAAAGTGGGGCTGCATGTTAAATAGACAGATTATAATTGACGAATCACTTCAGATTGATTTGATGTGTGTGCTTTCTTTTGATCAGGCAGGAGAGACTTTTCTCCTACCAGGTTTGAATTTGAGTGACAAACTAAGGGATCATAGGTACCACTTGATGTAAATCAAGTGAGCAAAAGGGTCACACGTACACTTACATGGTACCTAGGAAAACAACCACCTCAAATTATGCCTTCAGGGGCAGTACCATGTATTTTTCTGCAGGTTATATATGTGCTGTTTTGGGGTCTACTTGATTAGTACCATATTTCGCAACATCATTAATCTAATAACCTCAAATTTTCGCAACATCATAGGACAAGTTTGTGTAGCAGAATTATATTAGTGAATGTTAGTGTTCTCTTTCTTTCTCTCTTTCATTTAATTTTTGGGGATATTTTTTTCTTCAGAAGTAGGATTCACTATTAAAACATTTCTATCTGCACACATTCCAGCATTGATTATGGTAAGTTTGTGTAGCAGAATTAGATGAGCGAATGTATTTATAGTTAAGTTAGTTGAACATATTGTTATAAGTTTTTTCAGAAGTGTTTTCTCTGTGGGAAAAATAAATAAAGTCATATTAACCTAATTTATGCTAGAAAATTGCAAAATCCTTATATATATATATATATATATATATATATATATAATTTTTTAAAATGTATTGTTTTGATAGAAGAAATTGAGCCCACTGTCCTTTTTGGATTATGAAAGTGAGGCTAACTTATCTAATATCTATTATATTGTCTGCTCCTAACTAATTGCCTTTACCGATCACCAACCCAATCCCTTTGAAGGACGTATGAGCCATAAATGCACCTTGGTTTTATCTAACTTCCCTTTCTTGTTTATCATCCCTTCATTATTATTTTTAAACATGATTAGATTATTAAATCTTAATAATGTATGCAAATACTGTTAATATCCGACCGTAACATCATAATCGTTTTGTAATATCATTGCTGTATATGAGATGGAGCCAAGTGGGACTTGGAAATCCTTGTATTTCATAACACGAAATCAGTGAAATATGTATTTTATAAAAAACACTGTTTTTATTTTATTTTATTTGAGTTTTTCATTTTGTCATACAAGTTCTCATCTTCATTCTTTTTCTGAACATAATTTTTCTTCTTATTCCATACAATATATAAGTTGAATGTATTAGGAAATTACTCACATTATATTCCTCGATATAATGATTTTACTCATCTGTAGGAAAAAAAGTAGAATGTGTTAGGATATTACTCACATTATATTCTGTTTGACACAAAGAAGAGAAACATTTTTTTTTTCTTTTGAAATATAATAATCTTTGAATATAAATATAAAAAAAATTATGCTTTATTTATTAAATTATATTTTATTTTTCACACTAAGTTTTAATTGATGAATAGTATAAAACTTTTGTATCTGACTTTTTATTTTATTTTTTTCAAATAAAATAAAATACTTTCTCTAAAGTTATTTGGAAATACAATAAGAGATTTCACGCTATTGAGGTAAGAGAAAGTGTGTATAAGAGGTTTTATGTTAGCTTCAACCAAAAACATAAGGTAACAAGTTTAAGAATGTTTTCTATATTTTACTCATTTTTTTTAATAGTAATCCGTTATTTCTTCTAAATTAAATAATACTTTTTTTTCCACACAAACCTAATATAAAATTACGTGTTTTTACGTGAGATGTCAGAATTTAATACTGTTCATATGTGAGAATTCCTCGTAAACTGTTTTAGTTTGATATAAAGTGAGAACACGTTTTTTTTTTTTNGTCATATCATTTCAGTCACGCTTAGTTGTGATTAATACAATAACCGTGGTCTCCCTGTCATTCTTTTTCTTTATCTCATCAAATTCTCGTGTAATTAACCCCCTCATGAACTGTAGAACTAATAGCCAAAGTCTAATTATGTATAGCTAAACCTTAAATGTTAAATTTTCACGACAATGCGATAGGATTGAGTGCTTAGGGGACTAACCTAGAACGAGGTGTCAGTTCGCAGATACGTGTAATGTAGTGTCTGTAGCCAACATGAGCCACGAGAATTCAGTAATGGTTAACCTGATGTCACCATGGTGCGCCTTTGCACTAGAAGACATAAACGGTGCAGAAGAGTGTGCTAAGTGCATGTCGAGTTTCAACAGTGATGGCTTTGTGTTTTGTTTGTTCTTGCTTTAGGTTTTTTAATCCTTTTTACCGTTTTGGGCATCAAGTCAAAAGAGTTTAGTCGAGCACAATGGCACAGGGCGCAAGCCTCTCTCTCTTCCTTCGCTACCCCACAAGAAAGTGAAATAACAAACACATTGTCTCCTTAGATTCCTTTCTTTTCTATTTGAAGCGCACTCTATCCCAGTCTCTTTCTGATTTCCTATATCAGCTGGTGGGACTGGTTATGTTTCTTTTGTCAGGATTCTCTTGCACTCACTATATGAAAGGGGGAGATGGCTAGAATAACAAAGAAACAATTAAATAAACCTAAAAGCCCAACATATCTATCCCCAACAGTAAAAAGAAGAAACCAGATTCATACTCTCTCCGTCTCTCTGTCTCCCTCCCTCTCTCTACTATCTGACCTTCCTTTAAAGCTTGTTCTTCCTTCTCATATTAAGACACCAGTCATGGATACAACCTCAACCCCTCAACCTCAAGACTCATCCTCCAAGAGGCATTTCCATTGGACCAACAAGGTTGGAAATGAAGACATCCAAGTCCCCTCCTCTGAAACAATGTCCAAAATCATAGAGGAAGACGCAAACACAAAGGGAAAAGACGAACAAGAACAAGATGACAAGGGTCTTCCACTCCCAGGCCCTGCAACGACTTCCCAAAGAAGAAAGCTTCAGGCCGTGGCAATCTCAAGGCTCCGCTCCGTCCTCACCGTGTTCGGCAAGAACCGCTCCAACCTTCCCTTTGGCCTCGGTTCTCGAGTGGTCGGCACCCTCTTCGGCTACCGTCGCGGCCATGTCCACTTCGCCTTCCAGAAGGACCCAACTTCCCAACCCGCTTTCCTCATCGAGCTTGCAACACCCATAACCGGTTTGGTTCGTGAAATGGCTTCTGGGCTGGTCCGAATCGCCCTGGAATGCGACAAGGACAAAGAGTCAGAGAAGAAGAGTTTGAGGTTGCTTCAGGAGTCCGTGTGGAGGACCTACTGCAACGGCAAAAAGTGTGGCTTTGCCACCAGAAGAGAATGTGGAGCGAAAGACTGGGAAATCCTGAAGGCCGTGGAACCAATTTCAATGGGTGCAGGTGTTCTGCCAGTGACTAATAACAGTGATGGAGGTGATGGGGAGGTGATGTACATGAGGGCTAGGTTTGAGAGAATTGTTGGGTCCAGAGACTCTGAGGCTTTCTACATGATGAATCCTGACAGCAATGGAGCACCTGAGCTCAGTATTTATTTGCTTAGAGTCTAGTTACTAGTAACTACTACGACCGGCCCTTTCAGTTATCATACTT